TGTCTATTGATGACCTGTACGACGGGATTCCAGAGTGCACAACCAGAAAATTGACCTTGCAAGATGAACTGACAGCATACAAGCAAGCAGTACTGGAAATATGTGACAGTGTGAAACCATTGACGTTTTGGTTTTCGAATCGTAATCGTTTTCCTGAGCTTTTCAGAATAGCGATAAAGTACCTGTCAATCCCTGGAAACTTGGTTGATGCAGAACGGAGCGTAAGTCAGTACAATTTAATTAATACTTGTAGACGACAGAATATGACCGAAGATAATTTGACAAATCATGTACTTTTGGTTAATAATGCAAAGAAAGCATAAAATGTACCGTTGAATAACTGTATTTTAGTTCAATAAAGACTCATTGGTTGTTTTAGCAAAGAAAATTTCACTTTTCTACGGTATATTGAAAGAAAAAAATCAACCGCGAAATTGCCGCGAAATTTCCACTTTTTCTCATTTATCGACCGCGAAATTTTGGATTTTTGACCGCGAATTTCCACTGTCCCTAGTGATTACGTCAAAAAGCAATTTGACTGGTAAATAAATTTAAAAATGGGATTCGATCCTATATTCGGACAGTATATAGTGTAATAGCAGGAGAATCGATTGACACTGATAGCTCGACTTTGTTTACCTTTGTTACATTCGACGTAATGAAAATTTGCTCTTGAAGTATTCAATGATTTCCGTGTGTGCTATCTGCTTCTCGCTCCCAGGTTCTTAATCAGATCAAACTTTTCCGCTTCCACTGTAATTGCGCTTGGGCCTAAATGAATACTAATGGGGAGGACGGCTTTAATGCGAGTGTCTCTTTAGCTGAGAGTTACTCAGAGTAACTCTGATTTGCTCTGATCTGCATCGGAAAAAATAAAGAACAATGCGAGATATGCTGCGTAACATTTGAAGAGGGCCTATAATCAAAATGCAAACAAAACTATTTTCGATACCATTCTATAGAGATTAGTGATGTTTTACGCACGCACACTAACGGGCATCTATCGCCATGTAAAGTTGTTTATTATTTTCCTCGATCTCAAAATGTATGTAATACGATCTGTCAAAATGAATTTTGAAAAATGTATTTTCCTCGGATTTTCACTACCACAGTTTCACACAGCGCACCAATACAACCAGGCGTGATAATCTCTATAGCACCGCTTGAAAGCTGCCAATCGTGTAGGAATGTTCCGCATAATCGGTAAAACTCATTATAAATAACTCGGTTTTCAAAACGTACGATCAAAGAAATTTTTCGGATCATTTATTGGCCCGCACGCTAAAACGGGCAACCATGTATTATTTGGGTGTTGTGTGTTGAGATGCAGATATTATTGTCATACTGAACTGTACAAATGCTATCAAAAAACTTAGATTTTCTTATATAGGGATGGAAATTGACAGATTAAAGGGTGATACGGTCAAAATTTGGTCAATATCAACTTGACGTATTTCTTTCAATTTTGCATTTAAAAAACCTGAACACCCCTCATTTTGAAGGTGTGTGTGTGTAGAATGTTGCTCCTATTTTGATTTTGGAATTCACTCTTCAGTTGTCAAAATGCCGTCCAAGCAAGAAGAGCAGCGTATCAAAATTTTGCTCGCGCATCGCGAAAATCCGAGCTACTCGCACGCAAAGTTGGCAAAATCGCTAAAAGTTGCCAAATCAACCGTTACAAATGTAATTAAAGTGTTTGGGGAACGTTTGTCGACAGCCAGGAAGTCTGGATCGGGGGGAAATCGAAAACCGGAAGCCGCTGAGACGACAAAGAGAGTTGCCGGTAGTTTCAAGCGAAACCCTAACCTCTCTCTCCGAGATGCCGCAAATAAGCTGGGTGTATCGTCTAAAACCGTGCATCGAGCCAAAAAACGAGCCGGACTATCGACTTACAAGAAGGTAGTGACTCCAAATCGCGATGATAAACAAAATACGACGGCCAAAGCGCGATCCCGGAGGCTGTACACGACGATGCTGACGAAGTTTGACTGCGTGGTAATGGACGACGAAACCTACGTCAAAGCCGACTACAAGCAGCTTCCGGGACAGGAGTTTTATACGGCAAAAGGAAGGGGAAAGGTAGCAGATGTTTTCAAGCACATGAAACTGTCAAAGTTCGCAAAGAAATATCTGGTTTGGCAAGCCATCTGTACCTGTGGCTTGAAAAGCAGCATTTTCATAGCTTCCGGGACTGTCAACCAAGAAATTTACGTGAAAGAGTGTTTGAATAAACGTCTGCTGCCTTTCCTGAAGAAACACGGTTGTTCCGTACTGTTTTGGCCGGATTTGGCATCTTGCCATTACGGTAAAAAGGCCATGGAGTGGTACGCCGCCAACAACGTGCAGGTGGTTCCCAAGGACAAGAACCCTCCCAACACGCCAGAGCTCCGCCCAATTGAGAAATACTGGGCTATTGTCAAGCGGAACCTAAAGAAGACCAAAAAAACTTCTAAGGGCGAGCAGCAGTTCAAGGCAAACTGGCTTTCTGCGGCGAAGAAGGTGGACAAGGTGGCTGTACAAAATCTGATGGCAGGGGTCAAGCGTAAGGCCCGGCAATTCGGATTTGGAAAAGCGGAAGCCTAACTGAATATTTTTCCTGAATTTTATACTAATTGAACTTGAAAAAGAAATTTAATTTGATATTTTAAATAAACGATTTCACCGATTTACACGCGTTTTCCCTTGACCAAATTTTGACCGTATCACCCTTTATTTGCAATCCATTTTATGGTTTGCTTATTTTTTGGTTGTAGACCCTTTAAAATGTTACGCGGAACAGGAATTCAAATGATTAAAAAGGCCGAGAAAAAGGCAGACATTATTTACCATCCATTGTATAGTTTGTTTACATTTTAGTTGTAGGCTCTTTTCAAATGTGAACCTCTCGGGGTCTTCATAGAAACTGCCGTAAAAATCTGATATTTTCAGGGATCCATTAGAGTTTTGGACCAGTCTGGAAATTTTTGTGGAAGCACATCACGTTGTTGTTCAATGCTGGATTGAATTGCAGTCAGCTCTTGGAAGTGAATGATGTTTTGAAAATGCAGACCTACATCTCCAACTTTTTGCTGCGTTAGATGCCAAAATATATTCTTGATAGAAATATTTATATGTATCAATAACTTTTCAAAAGCCCTAGACTGTCCTTTTTCCGGCTTGCTTGGAGCTGCAACCTGAGTGTGACTCCGTTGATGAGGAAACATTATTCTGCATCTCGATGTTTGATTCGGATTTAAGTATTCAAGACAGTTAAAATTAACAACAGTGAAATATAAGTCTTCTGCTGCTGTTCATCATTTTCAAAACAAAAGAGGTTAAATATCTAGCTGAAGATTTCAAAAAGTTTTAAACGAAGCTTAAACTCGAATTGTTCTGAAGAAATAAATAAGACCATCTGCAAAAATCCACTAGCAATGAGAGAAAGATTCGCTCAGAGAGCAAGAGAGTTTCTCAGAGTAACTCTAGATTGCTCTAAATTTTTCATAAGTCAACACAATTTACAAATATGTAAGTTTTAAACAAATACGGAGAGTACTATATCAATCGATAGTGCAAAATATTAAGTTTTGACCTTAACAATGATTAATAGCAAATAAACTTAAATTTGAGTTCATCTATTATTGCTCAATAAATGAGTAAATTTGAACCAACGCCACTATGGCGGACCTCAAATGATACGTTATCAACGTAAAGTTTTTTTTTAAAACCTAATCTTGAATATTTTTACCTTACACTGTACATTACAATTATGGACGCTCGTGAAAGGGGGCGCATGAATTTCAGGTGGTTGAAGGGCACACATATGAAAATTCATCGAGTAACCAGCTCTCAATTTACTATGACAGCACTGTTTAGAATCGTTTGAGCACTGGAGAGCAAAAAATTTAAAATTTGCTTTGCTCTAGTGAGCACTTTTATGCTTCTTTCCGTACGCCAAATATGAAGCTTCTACTATTGCTTTAAAGCTGCACCTTTAAATAGTGATTTATTGTGACCAAACGTCAAATGAACTATTGATGTTATAGCAGGTATTTCAAATACTAATTTATTATCATATTTAAATTAAACTTATGATTTCGTGCTGGCATAACAAGTGATAGTGAGATAAGTACCGAAGCCCCTGTCCGACTCTTTCTACACTCAATCCGCAGCTTCATTGATCGAGCAATTTCCAACGAACGTGTTTGAGAACCCTTGGTCACGTGCTAGTCGGTACCGACGACTCTCATCAGCATAAAGATTCAGTGGAAGTCGAAACGACTGACTTTTTCATGAAAGCATTCATACAAAAAATGACTCGTCTCGACTTCCTCAACGAGAACCCCAGAAGAAACCGACGAAGCACCAAGAAGGAAATCAACTCATTTTCGATCCTGGTCGACACCATGCGGATACCTAAAATCGAACCAGTCAATTGCGTTTTAATAGATGAGAACAATTTGACGGTAGTGGTAGTGGTGGTGGTATGGAAAAAAAGCAGACGCTGATGTTTTTGTTTGTTTGTTCGTTATTGACTCGCACGAGATTGATCCGTTCCATACGCGGTTTGAAGAGAGAAATCTTCATCAACATTTCAAAAGAGCGAAACTACGTTTGTAAACAATGGCTTTAGCCATCGATTTCTCGGGAATAATAGCATCAAGTAGAGGAACGGTTCCAGCTGGTATGGTTAGTTAGCAGGAGTGAGATAAATCGGTGCGTTTACAAAATCAATTTCGCCCTAATGAAATGTTGGCATCGAAAAATCGAATCTAGGGAGAAAGACAAAAAAACAGGTTTCTGCTGTTCAGACGTGTTTAAGTCTTTCAGATGTTTTAGCGTTGAATGGCATTCAACCGGTTAGGTTCGTATTTCGTTTCGAATGATGGGAAGCCTGGGTCACCTTCGATTATTCATCAAGCGAGAATTGTGTACGGATTAATCTTAATTATAATTTGAATTTTCGTGGGTTGTTTTTATTTTACTTAAAAGAAAACTTATCAATAAGTATAGCATCATACCTTCTCCACTGCTCTGCGCCGCACAAACTGCAATCACCAAGCACTGTAATACAATCAGCTCAATCAGCCGTATCAATCGGTGGTTTGATTTTCCCATTTTCTCCCGCACTTTTCACTTTCCCGATGCTGAATTGAAACTTAATGTGCCACTCGCAGCACCAGCAGCAGGTTGAAATACTACCCAGTGGTGGGTGTTTCTTCTTCCGGCTCACTCAGAAAGAAGCAATTTAAGAAACAATAACAAAATATCACTAGCAAATCATCTGTGCGATTCCTTCCAATATCTCACTAATTACATACACCCGTGTGGTTTCGGCGGTACGCGCGATCGCGATTCCGATTCCGGCCGCACCCCGTTCGGCCCAATCAAACAACACGCGCCACTGCCAGTGAAAGCTCCTGGTTCGATTTTTTTTCTTTCTCTCTTCAACACCACGACCGCTGGTGATGATGATGTTTATGGTTGTTACGCAACGATGACGGTGGCTCATAAAACATTTTTTCTCTTATTTCTTAACGCAGATGAAATTGATCACATTTCTTTTCAACCCGATCTTTACGACAGGTTGCAGCTATTTCGATCGGATTTGAGTGACACTTTCCAATAAACTTCTTCTGACACCAGCACAAGCTTCTTTGCCCAAACGATTACCGCGCCCACACTTATTTACAGTTGTCCCCTCCCAATGGATGTCCATTCGATGAAGGGGTTTTTTTCCGTCCTTTGATGCAAGCTGAAAGATAGAGTAAAACGAACTGATTAGAATAAAAGTGATATTTTATTGTGCTTTGTTAAAGTTTCCCATCCTGTTATTTGAAATGCTATTTTTTTTTGTTTGTTTACCACCCCATTACTTGTTACTAAATTGGGTAACTAATTTAAGGGAAATGGAAGGTAACTCGCTTTTGTTTGCAGCTGTGAATCATGTAGGATTGTGTATGTGTAGGATTGTTTTACGTAAGATGGGATAATATAGCTTATTATTATTATTTAGCTTTATTTAGGAGGCTTTCAGCCTTAGGCTGGTTCGCCTCCAATAATATAGCTTTTTTTAAGACTCGAAGTAGCTCTGAAAAGCATTTCTCAGACTCATTTTGTTCAGAAAGTAGCAAATCGCAAAATATCGTCCAAAAGTTTGCCATTTACCATTTCTGAACAAACATACTGATCATTTTTTGAATATCTGCAATTCTAAGAATAGCGAATGATGTACGATCCAAGGTTTTCTTATACCCCTGTAACGTACGATTGCTTGTTTTTGAATCGGTTGTGTGAATTTGTTACAGAAAAGAGATCCTTGAAATACTTATGGATATGTGTACGGAAAAGTGACATTTAGGTCAATTTGCACTTTTTTGAATGTTAAAATTCCATTAATGTGTTGACATCACCTATTGACGCTCAAAGACTCGAATTTGTACCATTCAAACGTGCGAAAAAGGCCGTTGCAGCGTTGTATGCGGTCACGGTAGTCAACGCAATTTATGTGATAACCGGCTGCTTTTGCTTCCTAAACTTGCAAAACAAGCTCTCAACATGCAGTAAAGTAATAAAGTAAATAATGTCTCTCATGCTGTGGAATGCTGGAATTCTCTGGAATACTGCACCCGGCTGAGAAATTCATACTCACTGACAGGGCTGTCATCTAATCACTCAATGTGCACAATGTACTGATTTTCTGAAATAAACAAAGTGAGAATCAAGCAAACACAGTCTGCTTGTCTTTCACCCTGCGCAAGTGTAAAGCAGCGGAGGAGAGAAGACAGACACACACCCAGAAATAACGAAAGCTCAATCCAGTCCGCATCGTGCTCTCTTGCCGTGCGGATCTATTTGCTTTTTGCTGAAGGAAGTGTTACTACTACCTAAAGCTACAACAAATTTAAACAGCACTTTTCAGTGCTCAACCTGTAAAAAAAAATTTTCTACCTTGTTCAACTCTTATTCCTCTTCGATCCTTGTTTGGACCCTACCCGAGGTAATCCTTCTTGGATATCGATTTGGAAAATTCCTCTTCGATCCTTCAGATTCTTATAGTAATCTGCTTGGAAGTCGATTTGGATAAAAATTTACTGCCGCCATGGCGCCTAAACGCAAAAGAAAGGGGCAAACTCTTGACCCCCCTTCTGATGAAATTAATTTGAGTAATCAATTTGATTTGCTCACGGATGATGAGAATGATCCATCATCCAAGAAAAATTCTAGTAAACTTTCCCGGCTTAATGCCAAGAAGGAAAAGATTCCCCCTATTGTGATAACCACTACCGATTTCCATGCTCTTCGCATGGAACTTTTGAATTTCGTGAAAGTTAAGTTTTCACTACAAATTGGACGTCGGGGTGAATGCCGTGTATTGGCTGAAACCTTGGACGGATTTAAATGTCTTCTCAAGTATCTTACTGAGAAGAAGCACACATTTTTTACTTACGACACCAAAACTGAACGTGTGTTCAAGGTTGTCATGAAAGGACTGCCCAGTGGTGAATCCCTGGATCAGATCAAAGATGAACTGGCAAAATTACTTGGAGTTGTGCCACTCCAAGTAATCAAAATGAAAATGAAATCCCGTCCTGGCGATTCGCGCAACGGGATTTCTAATGATTTTTATTTAGTTCACTTCAAGTCTAGTGAACTAAACAACCTTAAGGCCTTAGAAAAAGCTAGCCTTATGCTCCATGTCCGAGTGAAGTGGGAACACTTCAGGATGACTGGAGGAAATTTCCAAAACCTCACCCAGTGCCGTAAGTGCCAGGGATGGGGTCACGGAACTAAAAATTGCTACATGCCAGCTAAATGCATGAATTGTGGTGATTCCTCTCACGCAAAGGACGACTGTCCTGTGAAGGAAGATCCTAAGAAATTTAAATGTTCAAATTGTGGTGAAAACCACAAATCCAATTTTTGGGAATGTAAGACTCGCAAAGCGATCCTACAATCTCGTTCTAACCGTCAGGTAGGAAACGCTCCACGTTTCCGACCAGGTACAAATTCCTCTGCTGTTAACAACGGTCAGCGAGGAACAAATTCTACATTCGTACCCGTAGGTACAAATATCTCCCCTGCTTCAAATGTTTCATCTGTACCTACTCCCCTCGCTGCTAACAATGTTCAGCGAGGTAATGGAGCTACCTATGCTGCTATTGCAGCGGGTAGAAATCAAAATACTAACCAACGTACTAACGGAAATTTTGACAATTTTGACTTAGGAAGCATTACTGCCCCTAAAATGGAATTTTTACAGAATTCATTAATTGACATGATTTCTGATATGCTTAAATCTAACTCCATGTTTGATGCTATTCAAACTGGAGTAAAATTTGCAAATAATATTGTCATGACTTTAAAATTCAGTAATGGATTTTAAAGCATTAAATATTGTAAATTGGAATGCTCGATCTCTTAAAGATAATGAAGACGAGCTATTTAATTTTTTAAGAGTTCATAACGTGCATATTGCCGTTATAACTGAAACGTTCCTTAAACCTGACCATAAGGTTAAGAAGGACGCAAATTACTTGATTTATAGAAATGATCGTCTTGATGGACCCTGTGGTGGCGTTGCCATCATTATTCATAGACGAATCAAACATAAAATTCTTTCTTCATTTGAAACCAAAGTTTTTGAAACTTTGGGGGTTTCTGTTGAAACAAAATTTGGACAACTTACGTTTATAGCTGCCTATTTGCCATTCCAATGCGTAGGCCAGCAAAAGAATTTTCTCAAGGGTGACCTCCAGAAACTTACCCGTCATAGGTCTAAATTCTTCATTATTGGTGATTTTAATGCAAAACACCGCTCATGGAATAATGCTCAAAGCAATTCCAATGGTAATATTCTGTTTGATGATTGTTCTGCAGGTTATTACACTATTCAATATCCAAACAGCCCAACATGCTTTTCTTCTGCAAGAAATCCCTCCACTATTGATTTGGTCTTAACTGATTCATGTCAACTTTGTAGCCAACTGGTTACCCATGCTGACTTCGGTTCTGATCACCTTCCAGTAACTTTTGAAATATCCCAAGAAATAATTTGTAATCCCAACAGCTCTACTTTCAATTACCATAGAGCTGATTGGGAGCAGTATCGAACATTTATGGAATATAACTTCGATCCAAACATTCCTTTGCAAACCAAAGATGAAATTAATTATGCTCTTGAATCTCTGACTACTTCTATAGTTGAAGCAAGAGCTGCCTCAGTACCAAAATGCGAGGTTAAATTCGATTCAATTATAATAGACGATGATCTTCAGCTCTTGATCCGTCTTAAAAATGTCCGTAGGAGACAATATCAAAGAACACGCGATCCTGCCATGAAAGTTATCTGGCGGGATTTGCAAAAACAAATTAAAAAGCGATTCTCTGCCCTGAGGAACAAAACTTTTGAAAATAATATTTCTAAATTAGACCCGAGTTCCAAACCCTTTTGGAAACTCACAAAAATTTTGAAAAAACCTCAAAAGCCAATTCCAGCGCTTAAAGAAGGTGGTAAAATTTTGATCACAAATTTGGAAAAAGCTCAGAAACTTGCTAAGCAATTCGAGAGTTCCCATAATTTCAGTTTGGGTCTTACTAGTCCTATTGAGAATCAGGTTGCTCGGGATTTTCTGAATATTTTCTCTCGGGAAAATATTTTTGATGATTCCTGGGGGACTGATTTGGACGAATTAAGGTCTATAACTAAAAAATTTCAAAATATGAAAGCTCCAGGTGATGATGGAATTTTCTATATCCTCATCAAAAAACTCCCAGAGAGTACCTTGTCTTTCTTGGTAAAATTATTTAACAGATGTTTCCATTTGGCATACTTTCCTGATAAATGGAAAAATGCAAAAGTTGTTCCAATTTTGAAGCCGGATAAAAATCCAGCTGAAGCTTCTAGCTACCGTCCAATAAGTTTGCTTTCTTCAATAAGTAAACTTTTTGAAAAGATAATTTTGAATAGAATGATGTTTCACATCAATACGAACTCAATTTTTGCAGATGAGCAGTTTGGATTTCGCCATGGGCATTCAACTACTCATCAACTCTTAAGAGTTACCAATTTAATTCGTTCAAACAAATCTGAAGGCCACTCAACTGGAGTTGCTCTTCTAGACATAGAAAAAGCATTCGACAGTGTTTGGCATGAAGGTTTGATTGCTAAATTGAAAAAGTTTAATTTTCCACTTTACATTATGAAATTAGTTCAAAATTATTTAACTGACAGAACTCTGCAGGTAAATTATCAAAATTCCAAATCTAATCAACTACCTGTTAGAGCAGGAGTTCCTCAGGGTAGCATTCTTGGGCCTATATTGTATAACATTTTCACTTCGGACCTCCCTGATTTGCCTCAGGGTTGCCACAAATCTTTGTTCGCTGATGACACAGGCATTTCCGCTAAAGGAAGAAGTCTTCGTGTTATTTGCAGCAGACTGCAAAAAAGTTTAGATATTTTCTCTTCTTATTTACAAAAATGGAAGATTTCTCCCAACGCTTCCAAAACTCAACTTATAATATTTCCACATAAGCCTAGAGCTTCGTTTTTGAAACCTAGTAGTAGTCACATAGTCACTATGAACGGAGTTCCAATTTCCTGGTCAAACCAAGTGAAATATCTTGGATTAATACTTGACCAAAAATTAACTTTTAAAGATCACATTGAGGGCATTCAAGCCAAATGTAACAAATATATAAAATGTTTGTATCCTCTTATAAACAGGAAATCCAAACTTTGCCTGACG